GATTTGCTTCCACTACAGCTTTCAGCTCATCATTATCCACCTTGGTCTCAGGTCACCCACGTGGCTCATTTTCAAGATTAAAATCACAAGAACAGAACTTCTCAAACCATCAATGTAATGTGCATTCATTAGCCACATCCTTCCCAATCACTTTGTGGATATTTTGAGCTGTCTGCACTGCACTGGTTCTACGACAGAACTCATATTTGAAAATAACACAAGTTTTTGACTTATCCATGGTTTCACAAAAATTACTCTAAAAAAAATTTGAAAGATAATCACAAGCCAAACCATGCATTTGAAAGAATGAGGATGTACCTTAACAAGACAAAAAAAAAAAAAAAAAGATGAGAGGTATCAAAGTGAAATATCAGATATATCAACTGTCAAACTTAGTACTTAAGGAAATCAGATATTCCATACTTAATAACCTAATAATACAAAGAATAATAAATGTATCCACTTCACAGAAGTGTCATAAGAATTACATTAGCTCATCCTATAAAACCCATAGAAGAGTGTCAGTCATATATGATCATATGGTAAACACTGAACATTTGTCATGGTGGTGGTAGTGGCAATCTCCTTTGCAGCAAATAAAATCTATTTCTTAGGCTATGTAATTCCTGTGTTAATAATAAGAAGCACTTGTATGATATCAAGAATAATTTAACAAAAATATTAAGCACTGAACAGAAAATTCAGCCTACCAGTGAGCCATTTGCCTTTACTTTTGTAGAACACAACAAGATGAGGGAAATTACGCCACCACCTAGCAATGGACAATGAATATCACAATTCAATTGTAGTGCATTTGCTGCTTGCTTCAAAACAGTTCTTAACCAACATATTTGTCTTGTCCACATGAACTTTATCAGATATTAAAATTTATTTAGTGGCTTGCTTTTTAGTTTACTTATTACAATAAAGCATTAATATTTAATTTCTCAGTTACACATGGTGTAGGACTTCTTTTACCAATATATTTGATGGATTCTGCTTGTTTGAATACAGATATTAATATATTTTGTTTTTAGCAGTATGTTAGTACCTTTTTTTTCATGATTAGTAGAATATTATGGGATATCCCAAACTGAGAATTTCCTATTGGTTTTCACTGGGCAGTATACTGTATTTACATGAACATCCATGCTTTCCTTATAAAGTCACTTTAAAATTCCTTTTATAAATACTTATTTATATTTTTCAAAATAATGTAACTGTAAATGTGTGATGAGTTATATACCTTTGCAAACATAATAGAAATTCTAATTACAATAACACTGATTTGCATGAGTACTTTCAATATAGCCTAATTCCAATACACTGTGATTCTTGGCTCTGGAAAAACAGTATTTAGAAGCACAATCCAGATGGCCTCTGTTTTAGGAGTTCTTTCCAATATATGAGCATATTTCCTCATGATATTAAACAAATAATATTAATAATTATAAAATACATACTAAGGGAATGTGAGTTGCTGAATCTTAAAGATTTAAACCTTTTAATATTGGGGCATGGCTAATTCTTAGCACAAGATGTAGGAGGAAACTAATATAAAATTAACATTATTTATTATTATATTCTTAAAAATCTAATTTACAAAATGGATGCAAGGAACTGTGACTCACTGAATCAGAGATCTGTTCCTTTGATATCTGAATTTGGCTAATTCTTAGCCCAAGGAATAAGAAGAAATTGACCTAAAATTACTGAACAAAATAGTCTTTTACAGTTAGTTTTTTATTATATGTTATCACTGTTATTATAATAAGAAGAGCACTTAAACAAAAGAGAGAAAACCTGCTAGTCTAGTTTAATATTTATGTTAGTTTATCAATTCAAATATACACTTTGTGGGGCAAAGATCCATCGTTCTCCCCTGTACTGCTCATTAAGTCCATTACCTCATTCAGAAATTACTGCCAAGTGGTATTAATTTGGACTGATTATATAAAAGTGTAAGTGGTATCTTATCTGTAAGGTCACAAGTCTTCATTTGAACTTTGGTTTGACAAATAGGAAGATTATTTGAAACATTATCACTTTAGTGCAGCATATGGTTAACTATGCTGTTGCTATATGCATTTCTTATCTTTCTTAATAATATTTCAACTTTCTCCCACTGAATGAATTGATGAGGAACAAATGGGTGTCTGAACTAAGTACCAAAAATCCAAATAAAAAATCATTAAATTAAATGACAACAAATGAATAATATCTTGAACAGTGCCTGGCAAATAGTAAGCCATTAATAAATGGTAGACATACATATGATAGCAACTATAGCATTCTAGAAAGCATCATTGCAATCTTATGGCATGCACCACTTTGGATTTCAGGTGTGTACTAAGTATCATCGCCATAAAGCAAGATGGAGAAAATGATTTAATTATAATGCAACAGAGTGAAGAAAGAGAAAGATTCCTATTTGCTGATATTTCTGATATTTCTTCTCTCCTCTAAATGCAATGTAGCCTCAGGATTAATCTAGATAGAGTGGAAAATATTTTGGATCTCTTTAATTTAAAAATCTTTGAATGGTAAACCCATAAATGCACCTTCTCTTGGCTCCATATGGCTCTCAGAATAATGTTATTTCAATTAGACAAAAAGTTCTGATGATCATCTCCTATGCTACATGTACAAGGGACTCCAAAATATTTAAGACATTGTTCTATTTCCCAAGAACTTACAAAAAGTCTCAGGAAAACACACAAAGAGAAGTGTACTTCTCTGACAAAACTTTTTCTGTTGTCTCAATATTAAAGTGCTTATACTGTGTCTATTGACTAAAATGATAACCTCAGACAACTCAAATTTCCATCTTCACGAAGTACACAGTTTTGGCTAACAATGAGATAAATGAGAGGATGACAGAAAATTGTTTAATGAGTGACTTTTTGTGTGGGTATCACAAATCAAGAACACAACCTTAGGTCTTACATTTAAGGAGCTCAAAACACCCACGCTTGTTCCTCAATGCTAAGAAGCAATGCGATTTTTATTCTTATTTACATTATTTTTCTGTAAAGTTTTAGGCCCTTTGAAAAACACTATATACATTGTTCCAAAATGGTGGTAAGGGAGATTTTCACAAGAGTTCCCCATTTTCGATTATTAGTACCTCTTTAGTTCATTTGATACTATCCTAAAAAGATAAATGGAGACTGATTTGTCTAGTCAAAGATCATGCCCCGGAAATAAAGTTCCTCCCCTTTCTGTAGTTTCATTTTCTACTTAATCATGTCTACTTTAAATGTATAATTATATTTCAGTTAAAAGATTAAAACATTTACATGAACCAATGTAAATCCAGTGAATTTGGGATTACGCTATGAAACAAACATTTCCACAGAACTTTAAGGAACGTTGGCAAAATTCTATATTTCCAAATTCCAATTTGATTTCTTTCTTAATCTTGTACAAATGTTCCAATGCCTAAATTTTTAAAATTTCAAAATCACTACACTTTCTGTACATTTACATTGTATAAGGTCTTCAGAAGCATTAGCAATGTGTACAGCCTTTTGATGTTAAGTTTGAGGGAAGAATAAGACAAATATATAGGGTGATTTCAATGATAAAGCACTACATCTGTGTAGTTCCTTGGAGTTCATGGAGCACATTCACTTTTAACCCGGAGCAGTGAGCAGTGGTGGCCTCAAGAGTTCCCCAAAGAGGGCAGGACTCAGGCTGTGAGTCAACTGCAACTGCCAACCAAAGTGGCCAAGACCAGTGGGTAGCAGCATAATGTACTAGGCTGCGAGAAAAGAATTAGACTTTTGGCTGGGCGCAGTGGCTCACACCTGTAATCCTAGCACTCTGGGAGGCCAAGGTGGGAGAATAACTTGAGGTCATGAGTTCAAGACCAGCCTGATCAAGAGTAAGACCTGTCTCTCCTAAAAATATAAAAAATTAACCTGGCATGGTGTTGCACGCCTATAGTCATAGCCTGTAGTCATAGTACTCAGGACTATGGCACTCTAGCCTGGGTGACAGAGACTCTATCTCAAAAAAAAAAAAAAAAAAAAAGAACCAGACTCTTGTGGTTCCTGGACCCTAAATGGGGAGGTGACATGACCAGAGAAGGAGGTCAGACAACATGCATTTTTATTCACAGAAGGAAAGTTTTAGACACCAGTTACATATTTCTTACCGTGCTAAATGCCTTCTTCTGGAGTATATACTGTCTGCCTAAATGTAGGACAGTATTGCATTAAATATAAATAAGCTGAAGACTTTGTTATTATTTTCCAACAGATTAGTTTTAACTATCAGCTGATAAAAGACTAGCAGAATACATGAATTTTCCTTTTTAAATGCCAACTGCTCACCTATATAAATGTAGGTCTTAAAACTTATTATTATTTTTTTTTTTTGAGTCAGAGTCTCACTCTTTTGCCTAGGCTAGAGTACCGTGGCATCAGTCTAGGTTGCTCACGGCAACCTCAAACACTTGGGCTCAAGGGATCCCCCTGCCTCAGCCTCCCAAGTAGTTGGGACTACAGGCATGTGCCACCATGCCCAGCTAATTTTTTCTATATATATTTTTACTTGGCCAATTAATTTCTTTCTATTTATAGTAGAGACGGGGTCTTGCTCTTGCTCATACTGGTCTCAACCTCCTGACCTTGAACAATCCACCCGCCTCGGCCTCCCAGAGTGTTAGGATTACAGGCATGAGGGCGTGAGCCACCAGCCCCCGGCCAAACACGGAAAATTTTAAAGCAATACTATCCTCTACGGAACAAGAAAACAAATATACTGAGTTTCTAGTACCACATATTTCACAGTTCATTGTCTTGATTATCCAATTATTAATGAGCAATAAGTTAGAGCTGTGAGGGCTTCACACATGTAAAAGCAGTGCCTGCTCTCAAGGAATTTAAGTAGCACTGATAAGACATAAATTTTATTTGGCAAAATACTTTGGAGAAATATGCCTAAAATTTTACTCATTGTCTAAATAGATTTTGTACAGTACATCTCTAAAAGATAATTTAAGAATTATTCACAGAAGCGAGATGACAAAGGGGACGTCATCATTTGGTAAGCGTAGCAATAAGACGCATAAGTTGTGCCGCCGCTGTGGCTCCAAGGCCTACCACCTTCAAAAGTCGACCTGTGGCAAATGTGGCTACCCTGCCAAGCGCAAGAGAAAGTATAATTGGAGTGCCAAGGCTAAAAGACAAAATACCACCGGGACCGGTCAGATGAGGCACCTAAAAATTGTATACTGCAGATTCAGGCATGGATTCCGTGAAGGAACAACACCTAAACCCAGGAGGGCAGCTGTTGCAGCATCCAGTTCATCTTAAGAATTTCAACAATTAGTCACACAATAAATGTTTTGGTTTTCAAAAACCAAAAAAAAAAAAAAGAACTATTTTCACTATTCAACTCTAGCATTTACTCAGATGCCCAGATCAGCACATCATAAATATCCAATCAACTTGCTAAGAGAATCACTGAATAAATAAATTCTTTTCTTTTCAAGTTGCCAATTGAGACTTATAAAAATGAGAGGAACACAATCCTTTTACTGGGAGATTTTTTTGGAAGTTAATCCAGCCTATATGCTAATATTATATAATCTAAAATATTATTTTTACCCTGAGAATTCTTCCAACAAATGGTGGCATTATTCAGACCATGCTTTCTGGCCTCTACGATCATTCCGACTCTTTCTGACTGTTTTCTTTTTTTTTTTTTTTTTCTTCAACATTAGGCATACAAGCTAAGGACTGTTTTCTAGTGCATGCTTATTTCTGCAATCATGCAATAAAATAGGCAGTCTTTAAACTTTCTTGGGAAAAACCAGTGCTCAATAAACTTATTAACAGAGACATAATTTGATATGCTAATTTTATTTTTTTGTCTGGAACCCAAAACAATGATTGCATATATGACTTTCCAGGAAGCCTTACCATTTTGTTTTTATAAAAGCAAGAAACCTAACAGTTTGGCAACATAGCATCACCAGCTTACAATCTCCCTGCAGTATTTTCACTGCCAATATTCTGTCACTAGCATTTAGAATGATTACAAACAACAGATTTCATTCAACTATATTAAAAAAGTTTTCCCAGATTAAAAAATTGGTTGTGTTTTATTATTGTTTCAAACAACTTGCTCCTTCTTCATTCTCTATTTCGCATCCCCTACATGTTGTTTTTTTAAAAATGAAAGTCTATAAAACAGATGGACAAATTATTTTTCTCCTCAGGGGATTTTTTAGTTTTCCTCCTAATGTTTAGAGAATGATTCAAGTCAATGAATAAAGTTTAAGACCTCAGGGCTAGTGAGATATTTAATTTTCCTTCACATTCATTGATTATTTAAAATACAAAAAGAAGAAAGGCCATGAAAACAGTTTTACATAATTTATGTGCAGCCTTTCATGGTAAATATATTTGTCCTGAAGATAAAATAAGCACAGAGTAAAATGTGACCTCCGTTATAGGCTTTGGTTATTTTCACATACACGATTATTTTAATATTTAGGCCTATAAGCTTTGAAAAGTGCTAAAGATACAGAAAAGAGGGTGACCACACATCCTGTTTTCCCAGACAATAGTCTTGCTAATGCCTCTTGTCTCTGTGTCATAAGTGCTTTGGTTTGGAGGATAAATTTGTGGTCACCCTAGAGATATGCTGTATCGAAATTGTGTGAAAATAGCGTGATCTATAGAGAGCTGAAATACCTCAAACTAAAGATAATTTTTCAAACAACTCTCAGGAAAATTATTTTTCAATTTTCAATGTTGAGCACTTTAATGGGTTAGAGAGACAAGTTCCAAAAATTCAGCACTAAATACGCAGTAATGACAATGGGATCCATTATTCCATTGAAAAGTTCTTGATTTCAAACCATTACTAACTTTCACACACTTTCAAAGTTTCTGAAGTTAAGTAATTTGAAAAAGTCTCCATTAAAAATGAATCACTTGAAAAGGTCAAATTTAAAAGACATTTTGAAAAGTTTTTAGATTTTTAGACTTCTCTAGTAAAATCAGGTGTTGCATTCAAGTCTCAGAAAAAGAAATGACATTCATTATTTTAAACAAGGAGAGTTTGTGTGTGCGTGTGTATGTGTGTATGAGAGTATGCTATGGACCTCTTTGGGCCACTTCTATTGGACCTATTGGACCTAACCAAGCCTATTGGATCCCTTATGAGAAAAATATTTTTAAATGCATAAAACAAAATATGAAGTATTACAATGGAAACCAATTATACTGGAGTGCAGCTATCAAAATATATTTTCAAAAACCTTTTGATAAAGTGATACATGAGCTTCTTCCCTAACTCATTAGATAATATTATTGAGTAGCGCAGATCTAATAACTGTGATAATTACCAAGTAGAGATGATCATAGGGATAGTTTGAGGTTGTCTACAATAACTACAATGTGATCTGGAAAGTTACAAGTACTGCCCATGCTACCCTTGTTTGTTGATTATATTCACAATTACAGGAAATGCCACACTTTAGTTAAGAGATTAGTGAAAATAAAGTTGTAATTTTCCCCAACCTAGTTCATGACCCTGTTGAGTTCTACCCTTATAGTTACAAGCACTAAGAGAAAGCCTAGAGGTCAAGCTAGCTTATTACAGGTACATACTTAATTCATCAAATAACTACTCACCCTGTAATCAGGCTATAAAACAAATATGGAAATGAAAAGCCCACTAAATGCTTCATTTTCTTATCTAAGGAAGGTTGTCACTGGTAATTTATTTCAGTTCGTGAGAACTGTCAAATATAATACAATACAGACACTGAATGTATTGCATGGAAACAAAGTAGATGTTTTGTAGGACTTTTTAAAAACTAATAATGAAAAGTCCCTGAAATGCAGACATGACATTCTACCTTAAGCATCATGTCACTTTATCCCTATTACTAACATTTTAAAACCAGTTATATTTTTACAGTTTTTTTACATATCTGCATTTTCTTACTTGAACAGTATAATGTATTGACAGTTTACACTTTGTTTTTCAGAACCTTGAATGAAATCCAATAAGCAAGGACACCAAATGTGTACATACACAGCTAAGCCCCTCAGCACCACAGTAGCTTCACTTCTTAGAATATGGTGTCAGATGATTGTGGCTTCACTTCCTAGAATGGACGCCTAGAATGGACTGTAAGTGTCAAATGAGTGGTAATGAAATGCAACTATTTTCTAAGAGATAACACAGAATCACAGAGCATCAGAAGCTAAAGGGACCAGAGAGGCCACTTTGACCCCTTCCTTTACAAATGAGGAACCAGAAAAAATGAGAAGTTAAAGGACTTGCTCTAGACCTAGGGCGACCTTGGAAAAGCATGAATGACCTCTGATAGTTAGTAACACTCTCTCCACCACTCCACCAAGGGTGAGTCCTGTTCCTGGGTCTGCTTCTATTTGAGTAATGCTATTAAAACAAGTGGTTGAGTCAATTAGAAATATATCTCATTTATAGATTTTTGCTTCCAAATATGCCAAGTTAGAAGATTTAAATGGTTGATCACATCTCTCTAACAGAGGTCTTCAAAGAATATTAAAAGATCAAAAATTTGTTTTGAATAGTTTACAAAAGCCAATTTATTAGCAATGTTATTCTATTGAAAATCCAATACAATCATCCTTAATTTTATTTTACTTTTATAAATAGCCTTTTTGTCTGATTATAAGATGAATAATGCATGTCCATCATAAAAATTTGAAAATACAGGACAAATGAAGAAAATAACAAGCAGCCACATCCCAAAAGTCAAAGATAATAAATATTGATACTATATCAGCATATACCAGATATATATGTATGTATGTGAATATATATAGTTATATACACATGAACTTATATATTAAGATATATATTAAGATAATATTGCATATAAAATTTTATATCCTGCCTTTTCTCTTAGCATTATACCAGGAGCATTTTTCCCACTGAATTAAAATAATTTCTAAAACATCGGTAATATAAAAGTCTACATTTGGGGTTTATTAAAGTAATAACGTTTAAAGACATAACAATCTATAAAATTATCTCATCATATAATTTCTGATCACTGGATGTTTAGGCTATCACTGGATCATACAACTACTTCATTATATTGCTCTACATCAAAACTTTTAAAAATATATTTACATGACAGTCTGTAGAAAGATTTAAATGCAAACGACTAAAATCACTGGGGAAAAATGCATAATATCCTAGGAAATCAGAAAAATGAAAACTCGAAGCGATACCACTTGCCATTACTAAATTTAGAAGGTTCAAAAAGGTATTATAATAATTAATTTTGACAGCACTTTGTAAAGTCATGAGGAAACACGGTGCTGGTACAAAGAATTAGCAACTGGTACAAACATTTCATGCTTGGAATACCACAGGAATTCAATAAATGGTGAATGAATAAATGAGAATCGATTTGTCAACACATATCAAGACATCTGAATATTATTATACTTTTGGACTAATAATCTTACTTGAGGGAATATATACAATATATACAATTAGGTAGTCACTTTCTTAAAAGGGAAAATTTGGTCACAACTAAATGTCTAATATTAGTATACTGGTTAAGTAAATGATATAAGTCTATAGAGCCAGGGATACTTAATTTTCACATTATTTTAAGCCATTAAAATAATCAGAAGTCTCTTGCCTATAATCCTTAGGTTAAAATAATTAAAATATTTTAAATATTGATGTATTTAATCTCTTGATGTAAGATTTTATTTCATTCTTTTAATGAAATACAGGCTGAGAATCCCTAATCCAAAAATTTGAAATCTGAAAGGATACAAAATCTGAAACTTTTCGAGTGCTGGCATGATGCCATAAGTGGAAAATTCCACACATAAGCACTTAACACAATCTTTGTTCATGTACAAAATTATTTTTAAAATATTGTATAAAATTATCTTCAGGCAATGCATATAAGGTGTCTATGAAACATAAATGAATTTCTTGTCTAGACTTGAGTTCCATCCCCAAGATATCTCATTATGTACATCCAAATATTACAAAACTTGAAAAAATCCAAAATCTGAAACACTGTGGTCTCAAGCATTTCAGATAAGGGATATTCAACCTTCGATTGTTAACTTTAAAATTGAAGAAAACAACTGTGTTTGAAAAAAATGTTAAGAAGCCCAGACAAATGAACTATTATATTCATTCCAAAATACATTCTTACAGTCAATCTCAAAAGTGTTACTCATATATTTGTTCTCAGAAGACAGGGTCAGGGCTTCCTTTGAGAGTCACACCAATGGTGAGATAAACTAACAATCAGGACTTTGTCTTTTCCTAGCTCCATAACTTAGACAACCCTGACCTTTCCTTCTACTTTGTCTTAGTGTAGGCCCAATCTTAAAAAATTTGTTGAATCTCACTCCCTCCCCTGTCCCACCACCACACACACACAGACACAACTTGGAGTTGTAACCCTTTAACAAACAACACAAGTCCCAATACCTTTATAAGCTCTGATGGTTCACTTCCTTCTTCCACCACAATTAGTTGAGATCTTCCTTTCCTTTCATTATCCCGAATGCCAATGGCTACCTGGCTTGCCTTCAGACGTTCATATTTGTTGCATGAGGAACCACACCATTGATAAATTTCCTAAAAGAAAGAGACAGATCTTTTGACCCCAGGAATATGTTGAGGACACTCAGCCCTGGTGTAATACTCATTGTTATTAATTAGAAAAAAACAAAAACGTATAAAAGAGAAAAGTGAAATGACCTATTGGTGAGGCATATATGATTGTATATATTTAAATTATACCTCATTCTGCATCCTGTTGCTTTCAGTTAGCATTACAAAGTAAGCATTTTTTAAACATGGAAAATATAAATACATATCTTGCCATTTTTTGTGTATAAATTTACTAATTGCAATTATTAATGTAAACTTATATGGATTATTTAAATGTAATATAATAGATCTACCATATTTTCAGAAAGGTAGTCAAGAATCTGTTATAGTAATATACTCTTCATGATCATAAAAATTGATATAATATTTTTGTAAAACTATGTATTTTTTTAAATTGACAAACACAAATTCTGTATATTTATTGTGTATAACAAAATGTTTTGATACATGTATACATTGTGGAATGACTAAATCAAGAAAATTAACATACCTAAAGCAATTTAATCATTCTTATCAAGACCCATAAAAAAGAGTTAAAACCTTTGACCCAGTAATATCACTACTTTATTTTAATAAACTATTCATAAAGAGAAGAAAAAACCCACATGCATAAGGGTTTTTCCTGCTATGTGATTAGTGAGGCATTGGAAAGGCATTAAATCTTCAATAATAGAATAATAGTTATTTAAATTATGATACATGGAAACAACTGGATATTTAACTATTAAAATTATACTTTAACATAGAAATAGAAAAATAGAAACAGAAGAGTTTGATATATTGTAAAGTAGGAATTACATTAGCTGCCATTTAGAGTAAAATACTGTATATTTTACACTTGAGCACAGTGTCCACAAATACAAATGGCAAACAATAACAAAATATAATTTCCTTCATTAAATCCAGTCTAACAAAAGAAAGAAAGAGAAGTTTAAAGGTGCCCCGGCCTAGTGGGGATGAGGAAAATGGCATTATCACACTCTATTAGAGGGGTATTAACTGACAGAAGCTTTTTGTGAGGGCAATTTGACAACATATCAAAAAATTAAATATGCTTTTAATATCAGGAAATTTCATTTCTAGGAATCTATATTATAGAAATATTCAAACACAGGACACAAAAACAAAGAAACAGAACAAAACAAATGCCCATCAATAAAGGGATGGCTATATAAATATTGTTACTGTAGACTCCTTTTCAGTGGTTAAAAATTTGGAAAAATGTTTAAATACTGATGTAGAAAATTACTGCAGGTATATCATCAAGAATACAATGTAGACAGAGAATAATATAATTACATTTAAGTATTAATAGAAACAAAAATCCAAGCTTTGTCTCTGTGTTTGCAGAAAAAAGATATTTAAAGAGACACAGTGTTAACAGGTTTAGAGAGTTTGTATATACAGAAAGAAAGCTTTCAATGTTTACTGCACATAAGTCAGTGTTTTTTCCTTTTTTTATGTCACATATATTTATAAGATGCCTATTTATGTTGGGGATACAGAGATGAGTAAGAGAAAACTAGCAAGCAGAGACTGACAGGTAGACAATTTTGACAGTATATTTGCACTACACTTGGTTTTTACAACATATTTCCACACACATCTCATCTAGTAAACCTTGGAGAGTTGTTTAGCATAGCAGTTAAGTGTGAGGAAGATAGAGCTCAGCTGCTACTTTCTGGGTATTTGACAGTGTGTTTGCAATTTTTAAAAACAGCAAATAAATTAGTAACAGCAACATAAAAGAGCGCCAAACCATCCAGAGAAATGGACTCTTTTCTTGCAACTGTGTTTGAAAAAAATGTTAAGAAGCCCAGACAAATGAACTATTATCTTCCTTCCAAAATACATTCTTACAGTCAATCTCAAAAGTGCATCATTTCTTCATTCAAAAACAGTGCCTAAAATAGGCAGGCTCTCTTATATGGACTGGGGGCACCATTTGGAACAATGTAGGCTTGTAACAGTCTCTCTGACTCCCCAATATCCCAAGGTCCTGATTTCCTAATCCATAGTCCTCTTTAAGAATAAAATATACCTTTTAGGAATTCATACCTTTATAAAAATAAAATAGAAAGGATTATGCCTTGCAATCCTTTTCACTCAAGAATCCGATGTAGTTATTCAACATGGTCAAGGGGGTGTTTCTTTTCTATTCCTAAGAGAAGAGTACACCTCTACTGCAGGCATCCTCAAACTACGGCCTGCGGGCCACATGCGAGTGTTTTTGCCTGTTTGATTTTTGCTTCATAATAAGATATGTGCAGTGCGCATAGGAATTTGTTCATAGTTTTTTTTTAAACTATAGTCCGGCCCTCCAACGGTCTGAGGGACAGTGAACTGGCCCCCTGTTTAAAAAGTTGGAGGACCCCTGCTCTATTGCTTCGTCTCTAACTTCTTTTCCTCATCTGGGCATTGGAATGTGAGGCTCACATGTGGAGGACATTTGCATACTCTGCCAAGGTTAATAGTTACAAAAAGGGAAAACAAATGGTTCCCAATAATTAGCCAACTCTTAATCATTGAGTATTAAAATCAGTGAAGTAGGAAGGTGATTTTTAAAAATACAGAGAAGTGAGCCCTACCATTAGGAACTCTCAGGTGTGTTCTGGGCAGCTGTGTTTATTGAAAGCTCCCCAGGAGATCCTAGCATTCAACAAGTGTGTGCCAGGTGTGATGTACCCTGAGCAAATCACACCAGGCATGCACAGCAGGGAATCGGTAACATCTAATTATCCAGTGCAGCTCAGCCAGCTATTCTGCTGAGTACAGCCTAGGGGCTTAGCTCAGATTCTTTTCCCTGCCTTATTCCATCCATGGTTATTTTGCAAATGATTCTTTTCTTAGCAGAACTGTGAAAGCAAACTTCTAATAATTACATTTTACATTATAGTGAAAGATAGGAAGTAGATCAGAAGTTAGTTTTCTAGAATTTTTCAAACTTACTAGCAATTTTCACAACTGACTTACTCTGTATTTATATAATCATTTAACAGATGTTTATGTTCTCATTACCTTAGTTGTATAAATTACCTCTCCTTTACTTCGAAGAGATTGTATAAAATCCTACTAAATTTGTGTAGCATTTGTAAAACATTATAGGTGCTTGCTAAAATGTATTTTAAAGTGAATTTGAAGATGATAATTTCACAAACATAATTATTATTTAACATAGAATTTTGCAATATTTTATGGATCCCAGAACATTTTCTACGCTATTGCTTTGGCTGGAAGTTTTTATGTGCATATCAATTCACCAGTACATTTAGTTGCATAAAATATCTCTCACCATTGCTTAGAGACTGCAGTTCCTACCTTTAAAATAGTAAAAACATATCCAGGAAATATTCATTAAAATAAAAAATCTTTTAAAAGTGAAGTTTTCTTTTTGAACTAAAATAAGGCTAAATCACTAAAGAAAGTGTTACAGAAAACTTAGCATGAAATGAATGATTTGTTTAATGTAATGCTTTACTCTTGTTATTTTCACCTTCTATTGTGCCACCATTTACATACAAATGACATATTTTCCTATCTACTATGGTCAATTCAAATGAGAAACAAAATAAAATAATGACTTTGTAAATTGCTAAAAGCCAGAATTATAATTATTTAGAGTCATTATTAATTAAAACACTGTTTTCATTCAATCTGATTCATTTTCTATGTTCATTTAAATTGTGGCAGCAGCACATTAAAACTTGCTTTAAAAGTTTAAACAGAATTTTAACCATTTGAACATTTATATTCTACCATGTGTGGATGACGTGTTTAGGACATCTCATTTTAACAGAGCTCCACTATGCTGAAATAAGAATGTGTAGTACTATTAATGAACTGTACTGCCCAACACTTGCTCTATTCAGAGGTATTTGGTTAAGACTACTTCACCACTCTATGAACAGGGAAACGTTGTATTTAATTGGCAGCTTGCTTGACAAAACTCTTCTATAAGTCAATTTACCCTGTTTTCTAGAGGGAGTAGACTTAAAAAAAAATTCTGCCTGGAGCTAAAAAAAAGTCTCAATTCACATAATAGGTTAATACATATTACTACAACAAAAAGTTTTCACTACAATCTACATCATTTTATTTATAATACTTTAATTATAGAACTTAAATCTTTCACTAATTTGATTTAAGTGTACGAGACCCTGAAAATTGTAAAGCAAATGCAGTTTCAGAGGCAACTATTTTGCCCTCTACAAACCTAAAGCATTTAACAACTCAACACTAAATGTCATGTATCTTTAGGGAAGGGATATAAAAATTCCCCATAAATATAGAAGTGTCCATTCAATTTGGAAGAAAATTCACTTAAATTTTGGCAGAAAGTTCTTGAGGCACATATTGCCCATGAACACCCTCTAGTAGATGTATGTGGAACTATAATTAACTCTTAATATACAAACTATTGAAGAAAACCAAAATTACTCTGCATAATTGGAAAAGGAAAAACTAAGGGAATAAAGACAATCTGTTACTAGCCATTAATCTGGTCCACCAGTAACAGGCAATAAAAGCAAGTGAGTGACATTTATAGAAACAACCACATTTGGGGAGGGGAGACCCCTGATTGGTCTCAAAAACCAGAGGTTTCTAAAATTTCCTTTAAACTATGTGATCAGAGTTAATAAGTAAAACATCAAAGTGCAGGCAAACATCATTTGGGGACAGGAAATCAGAGCAAAAATAAAACAATTCTTAGTGATGCCCTTGAAAGGAAGCAAGACTGCAGAGGCTGAGTTAAAAGGAGCACCCAAATCAGCCCATGTGATGTTGATTTATAACATGTACAAAGAATTCACCCTAGACTTGCTTCACTTTTATCCTTTTCTAAGTTATTAGTCTAAATATATCTAAAATTTTATTAAAGCAGAATGTGCAGCCAGACCTCTTCCTCTTCCTTGCTTCTATTGGCTATGTTTTTACTGCATTGAGTTTTCCTTTAGATCTACTTA